AAGCCCTCTGTATCGCGACTGCCAACGGGGGGGGGGTGCTAGTGAAGCCCTCTGTATCGCGAATGTCAACGGGTGCTAGTGTAGTGCACGCGTCTCAAACATGCCTGGTATTGCGGCGCAACTTGGTGGGCGGTACCCTGGAAAGAAATCTCTGCGTGAGAAATACAGTGTGGCATGTGGGAGTGTGAATTGAGTGAAATGCGTGTGTCTCACGCCAAATGCGACTTCAGAGCTCTGCAGCATACCTGCTCTTTTTCAAGGAGCTCGTTTAGCAAGAAGACTACCTGTAGCAAAACCAGTGCTATATTTTGCTTCCCCTGCCTCCCTTTTCAAACATCACGATCAGACCATTCTATGGACCAGACCCAGCTTGGATTCAAACAGATGTTAGTGACTTAAAGCACATATCAGAAAAAACTAAAAAGCATGAACAAACTAGAGTCCATTACATTGCATTGAGCTGACACTTTTATCCAAAATGGATGGTGCTATGCGACTAGCCATGTTTAGGAAAGTAAACACACTTGTCCAATGAAGGCTACAGGATAGGGATCTGTAAGCATAATAATGAGGTTGACAAAAACAGGCACTCAAATAATAGACTGTATCAAGTGCTGTGTGCCTTTGAGCTAGTCCTGCGTTGTAATGACATACACGTGGGTTTGCTATCCTGGCTCCAAAATGGTGGAATGAGCTCCCCATTGAAATCAGGAAAGCAGATAGCTTGCACATCTTCCGGCACAGACTGAAAACGCATCTCTTTCGACTCCTCTTCGAGAGACAGAATTACTAACAAAGAACTGCTAACAGAGCACTTATATACTAATAAAGGACTGGCTTATCTATAGCCAGTTGAGTAGCACTTGAAATATTTTAGCTCTATGAAACCTGATGTACGATTCTGTTTTCTTCAAGGTTGTATCTTCCTGGTCGAATGTACTTACTGTAACTCGCTTTGGATAAAAGCGTCAGCTAAATGCAATGTAATAATATGTTTTGGGTTTGTGTATAAGTTTGCTTACATTTTGGTAGAGCCCCCCCCCCTGAAGAAAAATGTACCAGCCCCCACTTGCTCACACTCTGAAGTCTGACACTAACTGAATCTTCAACCTTCTTCCAACCACTGCTTTTATGTGTTACCAAAGTAGCACATAAACTGTAGTCATATACAACTTTAAATAGAGTTACAAACTCACTTTTTAAAGTCTGTACTTTGAGTAATAAAGTTTGCTTGCTTTCAGCATGACAAGTGGTGACTGATAAATGTTTTATATTATGCATTTTTTGTTAAATGACGAGATATATTTGTTCCCGATGTTGGCAATGCCGTCATTTGCCTTATACACCATAAAGCCACAAGCCACAATACATTACATACTTTCAATGTTTGGCCCAGCACTACTTACTGGTAAGATTGCCGCCGTTAGAGCACATTTTCGTAGTGGCCAAACGGTGTTACTACAACTATGTGTCAGTCGGTGACATCCTAGGGCACAAATAGACTTTTTTTCCATTGAGCATTGGGAAAGACAAGTCTGTAAATCATGCAAACCCTTTACGAAATTCAACTACTACATCCATAGTTCCTAAATGTTATAAAATGTGCTAAAACCTGAGTCATTGTGGCCATAATACTGCGGATTGGAGGTGCGGCTTAAGGAAAACGCAAGGGCCATGCTCGATGTGAACAGAGTCCTGAAATATGCTGGGTAGTTTTCGTCTTCGGTCAGGCCACTTTGGCTTCATGCGCCACAGTTCAATGCACCAACTTTTATTGGAATAAACGGGGCCCCACCTCCAGTTCTTTTTATATATCTTTGGTATTTACCTTGACTAGCAGAAGGGGGAGACAAAAGGTCCAGCTTTAATTCATTTTTTACTAGACAAACAAAAAGACTACTTCGGAAATATCTTACACTTCACTATAAGAGGGTTACAAGCCATACCCTACATGTTCAGTATTGTTTGTAGCCAACAACACAGCACAGCAAGATGGCTCTGGGTTCAAACCCAGAGTCCTCCAGCAGGTTAGGTTAAATGGAGAATGATTGTCTGTCTATGTGTCCGCCCTGTGATTGAGTGGCTACATGCAGGGTGGACCCCGCCTCTCGCACAATGTCAGCTGGGATCAGCTCCAGCCACCCGTGACCCTCTGAGGATAGGCGGTTATAGATAATGGATGGATGGACGGATTTCCAACCTCACAACAAGAATGTCTTTCATATGCTCTTCAAATGCCTTCTAAAATGATCATCAAACTGGTTATATAATGTCTTAAATGTCAATTATATGTGGAATTATGCCTATCCCAGGTTTTCATTGACATCAGTATCCCTTTGTTTATCTGAAGCAGTAGACTTTTTAATGAAGTTCACAGTTGAATGGTTCTGAGTGCATGTTCTCCTTAATGAATCTCCCTGTTACAAATGAATTTATTTTCAGTAACATGCCACTAATTTACGATTAATATGACACATCATGTCTCTCCAGTCTGTATCTGAAGACAGGTGCAGTCTATCTCTCAAACATGAACACAGTCATATTGTTTGTTTACCATTATCTGCATCATGGCTGGTTTTATTTGATTTATATACCTTTTCTTCTTATCTTTTGCAGCATTTTGAGACATTTCTGTAGTTTTGCCCTCTACATTTATTTTTGTCTGACAGACGCTTTGTTTTCATTCACTCTGCTTGAGACTTTTTTTCCCCTTTTGTACAAACAATAAAAACACTAGACAAACAACTGAAGGAACAGATCATGAACTCTATCAATTGCATGTTCTGCTTCTTGCTTCTGATGCTACTGATACTGCCATTACTATTGATATTTTGTATCACATGAAACCATTTTGAGTAATAATCCATGACATTTCCATTTGTCACTCTACGTTATTGTTTGATACAAACTATATCCACTCCATCGAGATCAGTTTAAGCACACAAATGGGACACTATATCTAGATATTTAAAAAATATCTGAGTGAAAAAAGATGGCTAAGCTTTCTTTTGGCCTTTTGACTATATTAATATAGTCACCAATAAAAGAATCACCAAAATATACTGTAAGTGTATTTAAGCGAACATATTCATTTTACTTGTACTTCTACCCTGTGGTAGTGGTACTTTTACTCGAGTAAACAGCACTACATTTTTGAGTATCAAGTTAAAAACACATTTTTCAGACAGTTAAAGGAATACTATAGGTTTAATTTGAGATTCTTTTTTTTTTTTAGACTCACCAGTAGAGTCTTTGTGAGTGGCTTGACTTGTGAATATTGTATCTTTTTGAGGGCTAACATAGAGGAAGCACCTTCAATGTGTCGGTTTTAGACCATTTTGATCGGAGTGGGCATGCCATTTTGGGCGGACGGAATATAATAAGCAAACCTGTTACCTACCATAATGGTATGCTTCTCCCTAAAAGCAGCAATGTACCTCCACAATAAACAAAAAAACACAACCCCTGCTCAAAGCCGCTGTTGGTGTGGCAACTGGTTGTTATTCCAAAGCAACCTGTGTAATCAAACAGAAGGTGACCCACACGAGACCCAGTGTGGATGGTGAAAAGTACAATAGTTTCCCTCCCTCAGCATCTAACTCAGAGGAGCACGGCTGCCTGCAATCAGGAGAGACGAGCCGCTTAATGCCTTTTGTCCCTGTGCCCAGGCTGCACCTGCTCATTAAAATCACTGTTCAAAGAGAGAGGTGGCCAGTGTGCAGGTACGGGTGGCTCACTCTGTATGCAAGTTGCTGAAGCACTGAGGCCCACACACCGCACATGTCCACATCTGTTCCTATCTAATTACACCATGTGCACATGCCTACACGCACATCCCAAGTAAAGTATGTCCAACAGGAATATCTGAGTATATTTATATTATAGCAGGATTTTAGGTCTGATTTATGTGATGGTATGACAAGTGGTGATAACTGTGTGAATGAAGTACTGTATTAAGCTAAGCTGGCAAATTTAGCATTACAAACGCCAGTGAATTAATTGTAGTATTAGACCATCAAATTTGATCAAAATGGATCCAAATTTCAAAATAAAGCTTTGAAGTTCAGCATCATGAAGGTCTTGAAACCTCAATTACCAAATGTGTAACTACAGCAATTATTTACTGCCAGATTGGACACTGTACATTTAAGTGTCAACAACATCTTGGATTAGGGCAAATCGTTCGAAATGGCTGCCATTGTTGTCAACATCGTATTTTGACGATTTTAACGACTTTTCATGGGATTTTAGGCGGACAATTTAATTAGAATGCATTTATTCATTCAATTTAAAGTTGATTGATTCTCTGGGAACCATTCCTTAAAGTTCAGAGGCCGACTTCCTTTTGGAATTACATTATACCTACCAAGGTTTTTCCTGGATATGATACACATACCTACCAAGTTCATAAACCTACGTGAAACTTGAAGATGGGTGCATTATTCCAAAATTGTTGGAGGGCGCTAATGAGCCTACTGGCAAAGCCCAACACCCATGTAAGCTATTTTGCCAGTGACGCCTGTGTTTCTTTTAGCATCGCAAGACACTCAAAAATGTGTCAAAGGAGGCCAAATAATATGAATTTAACAAGTAGACTTTAGTAACTTTTTTTTGTTTGTTTAGGGTCTATGTACACATTTTATATTTCAGAGATTGACAACTAAAAATTATTTTCCATTAGGTCAACTGGTGCCTAATATATATTGAGTCAAACAAAGTTGTCTAACAACTACAACATTTAATTTAGAGTTAGTTGGTTAGAGTTAGGAACAAAAAAGTAAAACATGGGATGGATTCAATAAAGGAAAGTTTTGGGTTCTGTAAAAACTGAAGAGGCACATCTCATGTCAACTGCCCAAAGGCGAATGGAGCATTTTCGTTTTTTTCAAATAAAAAAGTTTCCTTGAATGTGCTGGCATGTGCAGGCTTATGGATGTACTAATACTGCCATGAGCCCTGGCTTTACTCCCACTGGTACCATCCATTCTAAAAATGTAAGGGGTCATCTTTCGGAGGGGGTATAAGTATCAACCAAGTGGTATAGTTTGACTGCAACTACTGTGCTGCTGCTGCCTTTCTCCTCTACTGCAGGCTATTACCCTCAGGCTAACTCTATTAGTTCCCATGAGTGGTAAAGAGGGAAATGCTACTTCTACATTCATTCCTTCGAGCATATTTCAGACTGAAAGCACTGGGATATTTATGATGGATATTTCATGGACTGAATGGCTTTGTGTCAGGGATGGATGCACTCTTTCCTCTTTTTATTCATGGACGGATCCTACCTTGTGAACACTAAAGCATCTGGATACGCTTATTTTCTGCTTGAAGGTACAAGAAAGTTCCAAGTCTACAGCATGTAACTGTCTAGTAAACATGCTTACCTTAAAATATGTAGCTGAGGCATGTTTACATGCTTTAATGTTCATAAAGGGTTTGGACCAGTTTCTCTGTCTGAAACAAAAGCTTTCGTTTAAAACAAGAGCCAAGTCTGTTCTGATTGGTTAGCTGGCCGGCTCCATTATGATCTTTTACCCGCTTAGAGATGTGTCGGAAATGTCCTGCCCCTTAGCCTGTCAAGTAGAATGTATTGAAGCATTAGCAAAAAGAAGTCCAAGTGTTAGTGAGGGAACTCTGGGATTTTAGCCTTTGCAGACCCTTTACATGCACAAAAACCTATTTAACACACTACAGGAAAGGAAAACCCCCCAAAAAGCATATGGCCTCTTTAATAACTGCAATATATCAACATTTCTCTATCACTTTTCCAACCTGCCACAGTGAATTATTTCGAACAAACCTTTGACATACCATTAAATTGTCAAAATAATCATTCAATCGTATTAATGGTTCAGAATCAATGATAATTTTTTTGTCGCACAGTGCAGATGAAAGGCAAAAGTAAAAACTGAAAAAGTGGACATATAACAGTTTTAAAGGAGCCTAAAAATAAATCACAATTTATATTCTCAATTACTTATACTATTCTGTAGGCCAGCTTATAATTAAAGAGGACTCATTATCAATACAAAATATCTTATTTTCTAAGGTTATATTGTTCTGTTGTCCTAACCCTAATCCAACATGAGGAAGGACACATGGTTAATATAAATCCAATATTCAGTTGTTGCTCTAAGTTAGATTTAGTGTTAGCCTATCCCCACTTTTGAGGTACATACTGTATCTGCTAATTGCTTCATCCAGTTCACTAGATAGTCTCCAACAGTGTCTGTCTGCGGTTTGGTGCTGGGCAGGTACAGTGTGTTGTCAGAGCTTTCACGCTGAAATATATGGGATTAGTTTTGTATCATAAAGATAAAGCAACACTTTCTCAGAATAAAGCAAAACTATGAGTTTAAAAGAAAAAAAAACTGAGTCAATCAAAATAAAATACATTTCAAAAATAAAACTATAAGTTGCAAACAAATCATTTGTGTAATCATATAAACTATAAGTATTTTTTCTATGTTTTAACTAGGGCTGTCAAGTTAACTCGTTAACGCAAAAAAAAATGAACGCCACTAGTTATTTTAACGCGATTAACGCATGTGTATTTTTTGTCCTCGGCCGCCCCGTAGTTTCAGAGCGCATCGAGTTTAAAATACCATCTACAAGCTGATGCTGACAACCCCGCTGCTGCTGCCCGCTTGCTGCAGACCACACTTCCACGCTCACCAGCAGGCCCTGACTGGCCATTAGTGATGGTTCGTTCGCGAACGATTCGTTCCTTTTGAACGAATCTTTGAAGTGAACGAGATGAACTGATTCCTCCCACAAAACGATTTGTTTGTTTGAGTCGCCGCTTTCCGCCAAAAGCTAAAGAGAAGTAAATCGCGAACGACGAACATAAAGAACTGGCGGAAACAGTTCAGAACTGTTTCCTACAGTTATTTTATCTTATATCCCTTTCTTTCAAGAGGAGGGTCCCGTTAGGGCCCCTCCAAAATACTGGATGTTCCATCTGCACAGAGTTGGACTCAGTTAGACAACTACCACAAATACAATGAAATACTTTACTGTTGGACTCAGTACTAGTTGGACTTCTACCACAAGTAGGCTACTATGAAGTTATTTTACTGTATAAGCCTACTTTTTCAGTTATTCTCTGTCAAACTGCTGTGGCAGAAAATCATTTTATCTCTCATAAAATATGGCAGAAAACATGCAGTTTGACAGAGGATTAAAACTGTAATCAGAGCCCTCTCATCTGAGCTCCGTTACACACACACACACACACACACACACACACACACACACACACACACACACACACACACACACACACACACACACAGCGTTAGCGGGACATTCTCCTCCCACTGTTGGCCCTAAAAGCTTCAGAGGACGGATACCTGAACCGTAGCGTCCAGCTAGCTTAGCCGCTAGCTTAGCGATAAATACACACAGCGTTGTATTCTCCTCCCCCTGTCGGCCCTAAAAGCTTCAGAGGTCGGATACCTGAGCTCCATAGCGTCCCGCTAATGTGAAACACACACACACAGCGTTAGCGGGACATTCTCCTCCACCTGTCGGCCCTAAAAGCTTCAGAGGGCGGATAGCTGGGCTCCGTAGCGTCCCACTAGCTTAGCCGCTAGCTAAAGGTAAACAAAAATAGATGGGTGCATAGAATATGAATAAATCGTCACCGATGTGGAGGATATATTTTTTTATTCACTTTGAACTCGGCCAAGTGGAGTTTAATGCTTTGGGATTTAAGTTAGGCCACATAGTACGTGCATGGGTTTGAAAGTATAACGTGCTAGCCTGCTGTAATACATCGTATAGTCAGGCACACATTTATGAGATTTAACAATGGCCTATTATATTTCTTAAATAATATGTAGCCTATTCCCAGAGCATAATTCATGGGGTAACAAGGTGAGGGTGTAAAATGTGTTTTAATATCATAAATGTTACGCCAGCAAACTTCTTGTACGGACTTCGGCAGTAGTGAAGACTCACTACGAACGAGCAAATCACCAGAAGTCGTTTGCGAACCGGTGAACGAATCAGTGAACAAATATTTTTTTGTCTCAGGCTGAACTCTGCTCATGTACTACTGCTGTCTCTACACGGACCACTATTGCGGTAAGCATGTTGTAACTTCCGGTTGTTGTTGTCATCTCCGGGTATCCCGTGTGCCTGTTCTGTTGCTGATAGCTTATTATCTTAAACTTAATCGATCGTTTTAAAACTCTTGATCACGGCAACTGCCTGACGTTGTAATCAAACGTTACTACAGCTTAAGCACTCACAACTCTCCTTCACTTAGCGACTGGAACTCCACAGTTGCCTACACTCTTTTCGGGTTTGCTAACGGTAGCTACTTTAGCTTGATAGATAGCCATGGCTCTTTCCCCACCCTCGGGTGCTATTTCCTGCTCTAACTGTCTCATGTTTGGTTACTTCCCTACCTCCTTTACTGGTACCGATACATGTGTTAAATGTAGTATAGTTGTTAGGTTGGAGGCGGGAATCATAGCCATAGAAGCCCGGCTCCGCATCTTAGAAAGTAACTCAGCTACAGTAAAGCCCATGTTAGCCGGTGTGGACCGGCAAAAGGTAGCTCCTCTTAGCCGTCCCCCGGCAACTCCCGAGCAGCAGGGAGATTGGGTGACTGTTCAGAAGGGGCATAACGCGAAACCCGCAGGTCCCCACCAACCCGTTCACGTATCTAACAGATATTCCCCACTCAGCGAGACACCCGCTGAGAAGCCAACTCTGGTTATTGGTAGCTCTATTATGAGACACGTGAATTTAGAGACCGAAGCCTCCACAGTCACATGCATTCCGGGGGCCAGAGCGGGCGACGTTGAGGCGCATCTTAAACTGATGGCTAAAAATAAACGTAAATACAGTAGGATTGTTATTCACGTCAGTGGTAATGATGTTCGTGTACGCCAATCAGAATGCACCAAACTTAATGTGGCGTCGGTGTGTAGTTATGCTAAAACAATGTCGGACACCGTAATCTTCTCTGGTCCCCTCCCCAATCTGATCAATGATGACATGTATAGCCGCATGTCATCATTTCAGCGCTGGTTGTCTTGGTGGTGCCCAGCAAACAATGTGGGCTTCGTAAATAATTGGACAGCCTTCTGGGGAAAACCTGGTCTGATTAAGAGAGACGGCATTCATCCTACTTTGGAAAGTGCAAATCTCATTTCGGCAATCATTTTAGGGCTTTGTGGACTTAATCCATGACAAACTGGGGTTGAGACCAGGAGGCGGAGGCGCAGTCTTACACGCTTCTCTGCGCTCTCTCCTAGGCAGTCATCCATAGGAATCCCGAACCCAATAAAATACCCAATATTAACGGTGTGTGTGTCTGCCCAAGGAAAATTTAGGTAAAACCTAATAGAGGTGTCATACATAATAACCTAATAAAAGTAAATGTAACAACTACTACAGTGCAACAAAACAGGAAGATTAAATGTGATCTCTTAAACATAAGATCTCTAGCATCTAAAGCAATACTGGTAAATGATTTAATATCAGATTATAATATTGATATATGCTGTCTCACTGAAACTTGGTTGAGACATGAAGAATATGTCAGCATAAATGAGGCCACTCCACCCAGCCATATCAATACTCATATTGCCCGAGGCACGGGCCGAGGAGGTGAAGTTGCAGCAATC